GTAAAGTGAGTAGGAGCTACTTTTAGTTAAGCTGATCATTTCTTGATCATTCCAGTTGAATTTGTAAAGCCAGTCAGTGGCATTTCCCTCTCTCATGTCACAGATGAAGGTTACAGACTCTCCAGCAAATAAATGGGACACGTTTGGTTTAAGGCTCAGCTCAGCATCTAAAATCCAACATGAACATAAACACACAGAAAAAGTTCAGACCAGATTTTGTCTTAATGCAGAGGAAGATTTCTCACTTTACAAGCAATTATTAATTTATTTTTAATATAATTTGCAAAAATGAAGAAAAAACAAGAATGTTATTCACACATCAATCCATAGAAAAATAAAAAAGGAAGAAAGCTGTTCACTTACCTTGAGCGTCTCCACAGCAGAGGGTAATATTCAGCACTGTAACATATCATTCAATCATCAGTGGTCACATGTCGCAAATAAAAGCCTTTTTAATGAATAGAATTTTACCAGTAGTATCAATAGTTGGACAAACATTTAGCACTCAATATAGTTCAGTCTTTATCGGTCAAATAAAGTAAGTTACTTATACTCACAGAGTAAGGACAGCACGCTGAGCACAGTGAGCCTCATCCTCACAATGAGCCTGAAAGTCTGTCACTGCTACTGACAACAGAAACACTGAAACAGAAGTGAGAAACAGAGAATGTGAGAAAATAGTAATGTTTCACCTGATTATGGGAGTAGAGGCTTTCTGCTACCTCGTTTTATGTGTTCAGCCTTTCACTGCTACTTCTCTTTTAGCCCTACATGAGGACACTGATGACAGATCTTATTTTTAACTGTTGACACTTCCTGTTTTACTGTGGACAGTATGCAGAGCTGACATGATATATGATCCCTGCTTCTGAAACTAAATTGTAACTGCTCAGATAATAATGTTTGGGAAAGTGATTTGTCGTAGGATTTTAAGATCACCAGAATGTCACCAACGGTTTAATTTAAAAACAAATTCAAAGAAAAAAAATGGAACAACTTATCATTGTTATGTCTTAGACTACTTAAAATCTGGGGTTCAAACAGGAGGTAGCAAATAAATTCAAGCCTGAATGTAGATTTTCTCAGGGGCAGATTGTTAGAACAATAATGCTTTAAAAAAAAAAAAAACAGAAAAAAGAAGGAGCCTCAGCTAATGCTTTATGTAGTGGCTTCCTGATGAGATGATGTGGGTGGCTGATTGCTGCAGCTGCATTCAGCCAGAGGCAGGAACCTGTAGTGGGTCCCACCCACAGACAGACACACATGCACAGAAGAGAGAGAGAGATAGGGAGAAAAACTAAACTTGGAGCAGGAAGTTTAGGAGGACTAGGGGACCATGACACTGACGGTTAGCATGTGGTTGATGAGCTCAACTTCTTTTTCACACCTTGCAATGTGCTGCTAGATCAGGGCTTTGACATCATCTCAGACATTGAGATTTATACATATGCAAACAAACTTCTTTATATATTTATAATGCATTCAGGAAAGATGTGCAATTAAAAATGCTATACAGTTAAAGATCAACAGGGTTTATAAAAGTATTACAGCATCTGACACTCCTGTGGTTTTGAATAAAAAGTCCGCTGTTGTGTTTTTTTATATATATAAATGAGGAAGTGTAGAGTGAAATGTTAGAAAATAGTTGCTTCATGCAAGACAGTGGAATAAAGGTCTTTGCATTAAAAAACTACAACTAAGATACTGAAATATATGAGTTATTTCACCTACTAGGAAATCAGAATGACAAATGGAACAACATAGTCAGCCATTGCGTGGCAGATTTGTCAGTGAAACTCATCCCACGACCAGAATTCTCAAACAAAAATACCACATTTTATGTTCAAAATTAAATGTCATGCACAGTAGCAGACGAATACAGGTTAGAAAAGTACAGCTGTAACATATGCAGTGTTAACTCTTAAAGACAAAAATACTACATGGCACAGATAAATATTTGTTGCTCAAACATCAAAACTTGACACTTGACATAACAAGACTTAAGCAAGATGAGTGAAAAAGAGGAACAAAATATAACTAACTATGACCAGGAAGAAAACCCAGATAACTAAAACTAAGTGCAGAGAATATAAATTCAATTAAACGAACTAGTAATAAAATCTTTAAGTTAGCAAATACAAAACTCAAAATGCAACATCAAAAGAATACAATATACCAAAGTCACCCAAGCTGGTTGTACCTCAGTATCTAGTGATTTATTTGTGTTTGACTGCTCCTCACATATATGTTTCTAGTATGTTTGTATTTTAAAATGTTGTTATATTTGAAGCTGAAAGTTATTAACAATTATTTGTTAGCTCCCACTGACAATTTACCCAAAACCATGTGCTTTGATGATAGCACTTTACTGAGGTCGCAAGATTGTTAATCGGAGATTTTTTCCCCTTCAAAAGCACACTTGGAGCAAAGCTATAACTAGGCTCAATAGACACTTGGTGTACTGTATAATGCTTTCAGGTAGTGATGGCCCGCTTGAAGCTGCAGCTCCGGTGCGTGTGTCAAAAAAATCAACACAGTGCTTCAGAAGAACTGTGTCGAAGCTTGATTCGTTTGGCCAGAGTCACGTGATCGGTGACGTCCGAAGCTTCATTTAGAACCTAACTGCTTCGGTATCTGATTCAATGGTTTATAAGGAAGCGAATCATTCACGGGATTTGTGGAGTGTTTTGATGGTGACAGATAGCGAACCACTGATCATTCCACTGAGAGATTTGGAGCCAGCGAGGAATAAAGGAGGTTCTGTTGCGTGGGAGAATTTTGAGTTGATTTTTGTCAATCGGGTGGGTTTTCCAGCTTTGTGTTCTGGCCGTTTACTTTTGTTTTGTGCGTGTTTATTATATCTGAAAACGGGAAAAAGGTAAAATGTTAAAAATTTGCTTCCATAATATAAATATCATTAAATAACTTTAGAAAAACTTCCACTTGACTCTTTACATGTAATGTTGTAAAAATATATATTTTATTGTTTAATTAATCTGAAAATGTTAGTCTGCCAAATGTGCAGCAATTGAATTTCTTTATTCTCTTTAGCTGATAGTTGGTGGGGTCCAGGTAGACTGTAAAACTGCATCTCTACCAGTTTCTCTGCACTCCAGCCTCCTCTGGGCCATGTGAAGGGATTTTCCTTAAGGCAGGATAAATGATCTCCACGAAAAGGAACAGGTTCGGCCATCGCACACTAGAACAATTTCATAAGCATTTTCCCTTTCCATTTCACAATCAATTCTACCCCCAGGTCAAAAATATGTCTGGGAAAATTTCCCTAATATAATAGTATTTATAAATACACCCATCTAGCGATTAATTGCATAAGTGCATGGAGGCAGGACCTCAGAGCAGAAGCATACTCCATAATGTGTTTTACATTATTATATGTATATATTATATGTAACGTGGTATTTTTCAATTATTGTATTTACCAACATCAAGAAGTCACAAGCAAAGGAAGACCACACCATGGTGCATGTTTAAACAAGGAGAGTTTACTGGTCAAAACTATTTATTAAACAAATAAAACACTTTTTTTTTTAACCACCAAAAAATACACGTTCAAAGCAACACAACAGCGGCCCAATATCAGACAAAACTCCACTCTATAGAGTAGGCAATCGTAATGAAGCAGTTGGTTTTATTTTGTGGATTCAAGCTGCTCTTTGTATTTTTGGCCACCAGATGTCACCAAACATGACTTGTTGTGGCCATTTTTGTTGAATGTTTATAAAATGCAATTTGTATTCATTTTTGTTTTTTCTTTAAAGGTGTAAGAATATTCTGACCTGGTTTTGTTATGTAAATTTGTAATTTTATTGGAGAAGCTTTTGGAAAGTGATTGGTTTATTAGCTTATGGACCCTCCCATTAATCAAGAGGTTAAGAGCACCCTGGATGGGTGTGGTAAAGAGCTTTTGTTTTTTGTTTGCCAAATGTCAGATGGGAAGACGGGAGGGTTAGAAAATGATTTTTTGACCACTTTTGAAGTTGTTAAAGCAAATTAAATTAGCTTTCGTTTAATTTTAAGTTTTAAGAAGTTATTTGGCTGATTTTTGTTTATAATTTTGCACGAAATAAACCACATATGATTTTTAAACAATGGAGTCAGAAGTGCGTTCTAAAACAAACCTCCCGTTGCCACCCATGGCCTTTTCTTGGACTTTTTTGGTGTTTGGAAAGTAAAAGGCCGCGACAGGACTGTGTTGAAAAGCTTCGAGTAATGAACCGTTTTTCAATACAAGCTTCAGTGCTTCAGAAAGCTTCATTTGGCCATCACTACTTTCAGGTTAACCCTAGCTGTACGACAATATTAGATTGGTGGCGATGTCATGGATCGGCAGAATGATAGACCCACTCACAGACGGGTTTGTTCACATGTGAATAGAAACAGACAAAGCAGCTGGTGAATCTCTAATGCAGGGGTGACTAACTTCAGTCCTCGAGGGCCGCTGTCCTGAAACTTATAAATGTGTCCCTGCTGCAACACACCTGAATAAAATTAGTAGGTCATTAGCAAGAAATTATTGAACTCGACTGCATGCTGAGGTTACAACCCCTAACCCCAGGGTGTCGAACTCCAGGCCTCGAGGGCCGGTGTCCTGCAGGTTTTAGATATCGCCCTGGGTCAACACACCTGAATCAAATGATTAGTTCATCACTAGGCCTCTGGAGAACTTCAGGACATGTTGAGGAGGTAATTTAGCCACTTGAATCAGCTGTGTTGCAGGACACTGGCCCTCGAGGCCTGGGGTTTGACACCTGTGCCCTAATGACTAGTTGTTTGACATTTCTAAATTTGATTACCCTGAGCTTTGCTTTCTCACTTTATCTCGACTTTCTGTCTTTGTTGGAGTCTTGCTGGATTACATTTATTGTAATTGTAAAATTACAATAAATGTAATTTTACAATTACATTTATTGTAAAATTACATTTTACAATAAATGTAATTGTTTGGAATAATTTACTTCTTAAAGCAATTTTATTGCACCACATTCATTCACTCATGAGCTGCTGTGACATGAATCAAATGGCTGAATTGCCACCTCAGCATTCTTTCAAGTTCTAGTCTCTTGCTAATGACCTATTAATTTTATTCAGGTGTGTTGCAGCAGGGACACATGGAAATGTTTCAGGACAGCGGCCCTCGAGGGCTGGAGTTTGACATCCGTGCATTAGATATTTGGGAATGGCGGTGAAAGTATTGAGGCTTTCCAAGAAAAGCACTGTTGTTTGAAACTCAGGGGCTTGATACACACAGAGAGACTGATTATTCCACTGAAAGACAAACAGAAACTCATATAAGAAAGAAGCAGAGCACATATCTCACTGACACAATAATATGGCAACAGCTGAGTATCTGCTTCCGTCGTAATACTGAGCTTGATTAGAAATGGTGAAGCAGGTGAATCTGATCAGCTGATCCTCTACAGGAGAGCAGCCAATGGGGCAGCAGAGAAAATGAGTGGAGCTCATGTCCACACATGTCCACAAGCACACATACAAACACCAACAGGAGAGAGAGAAAGAGACAAAAGGCAGGCCATCACGAGAGAAATTCGGGGACCACGTCAGGAAACTGTTGGGTGTATCTGGCACAACCTTGTTACCATGGAACTACATGGTAGAACTACAAGGTATTCATGTCAGAGAACAGCAGCATTTAACTTGACAGTGGCACTGCTGCACTAGTGTCTGGATTGGCTCT